ATACGGGGATGGGGAAGGGGTAAGCGGAGTTTCGCCTACTCTTTGATTCCAACTGCCAAGCAATATTTTTATGTGCAATACCAAACTCTGCACGAAGACCTGTGTTTTACGTACTTATAGTGGATTTGAACATTTAGTTATTATGTGGTGTCAATTATTTATTTGTCTTTTACTTTCTTATTTCATTTCTAAAAAATGTTTTCACTTTTTCAGTTGTATCTTACTATAAGAAATCCAACCATGGATACGAGAAGATTTGTGAAATGAGAGTTCCAAGATCGTCATCTCTATCATCAGTATCACCCAATGGAGATACTAAGAATTTGGACGAAGAATTAGACGACACTCGTCAGCTGAACTTAAACCAAAACCAACATTATTCAGTGATCAACTGGGCTGACGAAATCTCATATGAAGAACCAACAAATATTCCTTATTGGGCATTGATACCCGGATTAGATTTTGATCGACATGCTAAAGATGATCACTCTACCATAGACAATATTGATGACTTCAATCAAATTCACCATCAGTATGTTATCAACTGGGCCGAAGAACCCGTGCATGATGGACCCGTAGATGTCCCTGACTGGGCTTTGATACCTGCATTTGATTTTAATCGACATGATAAAGATGATTGTTCTAGAAGACATTGGGCTACCACAGAAAATATTGATGACTTCAGCCAAATTCACCATCAATATGTCATCAACTGGGCTGACGAACCTGTGTATGATGGACCCGTAGATGTCCCTGGCTGGGCATTGATACCTGGATTAGATTACGACCGCCATATCTATTCTTTCACCCAAGAAAATGTTGGAGTATTTGACCCAATCAACCATAAATTTGTCACCAACTGGGCTGAAGAACCTGTGTACGAAGGAGCCGTAGACATTCCTAGCTGGGCTTTGATTCCTGATTTTAAATTTAAAGTCACTACTAAAACCAGCCAAGTAGGATCTGCTGGAGTAACAGGTTCAGACAGAGATGCTAAAGAAAACTTGACAAAAGATTTTGTTAATTGGGCTGATGATCTTTCTGAAGATGAAGTCGTTGATGTACCAGAATGGGCGATGAACAGAAACTTGTATTTTAACAGACAAAGAATCAACGCCAAATCATATTTTATTGATGTTGTATTTGGTTTATCTACTATTTGGGAATAATATGTATGGGAGAGTCCGGAGAGTTGCATCAACTGTAAATTCAACTTAATTGTGAGGATGTTTGTGAGAGAATTCTGCTGTATGTTTGTGCGAGAGTTGTTTCAATTTAATTGTGAATTCAACAGTATGTTTGTGAATAATTATGGGTTATGGTTGTTTCAAGTGTGAGTGTATGTGTATATGATAATATATTTATGAATAAGAATTTATTGTTAAGTGTTAATTTAACCGTTATATTTGCCAATAAGCGTGTTTGAAAGATTTGTTTAGGTGTTAATTCGACTATATCTTGTTTGTGCGGTATGAATTAATATTGTAAGTACCAGTTACGACTGGTTTTGGAAGAATGGGCAAAAAATAGGTTTAAATTATTGAAATAGAGAGGGATACGAAGTGGAGGAATTTTCTTAGTAAGGGTTGGTTGGGGGGGGGGGGGTAATGTAGTTATTTATCATTTTGGAATAATACGCTATATTTTAATTTTTATACGGTAATCAAAATAAGCAAGAATTTTTGAATTTTGTAATAAAAATTCATAGTTATTCTTAGGTTATATACGGGTATTATATATATTATTTTTTTGGTCAAATTTATACAAGATTATAGTTTTTACATGTTTTTGAATTTTGTAATAAAAATCCTAATTACAATGTGTGTATCTGTTGTATATAAACTGGTGTGATAAATGAATGGTTTGTGTGACTTGTACAATGTCAATATCCAATCGTATAGTTCTAACAAAGTCTACAGCAAATGTTCTCAATACATGGGTTGGAGGGTGGACATGTTATGGCCACTTACTTTACTAAATGGAGAGGCATGCTGATGTAAGCACAATGATATAGGGTTCAGGGACAGATATTATTTCTGTTAAAGATGAATATAAGAATCTGGATTTTTAGGTGAAAAAGAAATATATAATTGGGTGTCATCTGCGTATAGATAAAATTGTAAATCATATTTTCTAACTATATCCCCAAGTAGTGATGTGTATAACATGAATAAAATAGGACCAAGGACAGAACCCTGCGGAACGCCAGATTTTAAAACACAACGAGAAGAATATTTACCATTTAAAACAACACATTGCTGCCTACCAATTAAATAACTTTCTAAAAGATTAAGAGCAGATTTATTAATACTAAATCTAAAATGGGGACGATTTAAAAGAATGTTGTGGTCGACTGTGTCAAAGGCAGCAGACAGGTCTAATAATAATGAAAGAATACATTTTTGGTTATCAAGAGATAAAAGAATATCATTTGAAACACGAGTTAAACAGTATCAGTACTGTGGAATATTTTATATGCGCTCTGTAGAGGCTCGTGCAGAGTATTATTTTTTAATATGACACTTTAACTGACTGGCAATACATTTTTCAAATAGTTTAGATAAAAAACTTAAATTTGAGACCGGTCTATAATTTTTCAAAACATTACAATCAAGGTTAGTCTTTTTAATTAATGGAGTTACAAGGCAAGTGTGAATACATCTGGAACAGTGCTAGTATTTATACAGGAATTAATCATATCAGTAATTACAGGAACTATTTCAGGTAAACAAGTCTTCGGGATATGTGTGGTAAGGGGATCAAGTGCACACGACTTTGGTGGCGAGGCCTTCATCATATTCGAAACACTCGACTCAGTTACAGTACTAAATTTTGAAAATGCCACAGATGAATTAGCTTTGTCATAGATATGAGGATCAAAATGAATGGAATCATTTGTCTTGTTGATTTCATTTCCAATACGTTCTATTTTATTTTGAAAGAATTTAGAAAATGTTTCTACGAGGTCACTATCATTATAACTATCCGGTAGAATTTTACAGTCAGAATTTATGTCAATTACGGAATTCACAACTTTAAATAGTTCTTTCTGTTTATTTTCACTGTTATCTATTTTGTTTGAATAAAATTTTGATTTTAATTCTTCTATGAGTCTAGTCACACGGTTTTTCTCTGTCTTGTAGATCTCTTTATGGACATGTAATTGCGTATTTCTCCACATATGTTCAGCCTTATTGCGACATCGCTTAGCCTCTAATATGTTATCGTTGAACCATGGAGTGCCAGGGCGAACTTTCAACGTGACAGTTTTCTTCGGAAGGGTAGCATCTAATACATGTTCGAGTCTATTGTTGTAGGCTAGGGCTTTTTCATGAATGTCTATTGATGAAATCTGATTAAAATCTGAATCACGGATTCTTTCCAGGAGTTCTCCATTGTTTAAATAACTGAATTTTCTGTATGTGATTGTTTTGCGATGTGGTTGTGATGGTTTAATGTTTATATAAAAACTTACTGGAAAATGATCAAATATAAGTTTATCCTGAATGTTCAATCCATTTATAGTTAAAATTTCCATTCTAGTAATCACTAGATCAAGGGTGTGTCCAAGATTATAAGTAGGTGATGAAACATGTTGAATGAATGACCTATTGTTTAGAATTTCACAGAAATGAGTCGTATCAGCATCAGTCAGACTCTCAAAGTGTATATTAAAGTCGCCAAATATTAATATTTCACCTTTAAAGGCCACTAGATCATCCAGAAGTGATGACATCTCATCAAAGAATAATTTACACAGGTTCTTCTTTGGGGATCTATATACTGTAAGAATACGAATGTTCCCGGCTGAGAACTTAAAAATACAGTCCAAACATTCAAATGTTGTAAAGTGTTCATGTTTATGTTGTTTATGTAGCACAATAGAAGAATTAAATAAAACCCCAACTCAACCTCCGCGCTTTCCTCTTGCAGAATGAACAAAAGAATATCCTTTAGGGGATAATGCACAAATAGTAGCAGAATCTGAATCATTAGATAACCATGTTTCTGTGAAGCCACAAACATCTATTGAATTCTCAGTTACATAATCCTGTAAAACAGTCGTCTTGTTACGAACAGATCTCGCATTTTTTAATCAAAATTTGGTAATGGAATCCTCAGTTAGATTTTTACTATTTTTAACTTGAATCAAATTATGATTATTGCGCTGTTTGTTATTTGATATTTTATTCTGTTTGCCTGTATAATGATCATTATTAACTGTGAGATCAACAAGATTGTTACTATTTACTTGATTTTTAGTCACTGGTTTAACTGATTAATACTTTTATAGCCCTGAGTTTATTTCTGCCACCTCTACAGCCTCTGTATGAATAAATGTTATTTGAAGGTTGATTAACATGAACTCTAGCCATGTCTCTTTTGTTTAAAATCATGTTCACTAAAAAGGTTCACTGTGTAAAACTCTACTTACACAATGAAAAGTATAAAATATTCCAAAATATAGTAAAATAAAGCAACATTTTCCATAAAAAATCTAAAAATCCATTTGAAAACTAAGATATCCTATTAAAAAAGTCACTTGCAAATTATGAAAAATTAAAAATGATTATAACACTGTGAAACTGGACAAATAAACAGAGCACTAATACATATTCAATTTCTTAAAAAAAAATTACAATTTCTAAATACGCGAACAGTCCAAACTGAACGACAATCGTTTACGTCTAATCAGCGCATTTTTCACGTTTTCTTATTATCATTTGTGAATCCGCCATTACTATTTACTGCCACATTGTAATTTAGGATATGCATTTCTTTGTTCATTAGTTTTGTGCCCGAAATAATATGATACACGACTCGTGTACCATATTGTAAAACATTCATTGTGTCTTGAATAGCCTATTGGATATTAGGATCCGACATTTTCACGGCAACATAACAACATCAATATGGATTGAAATGGACCAATATTGAATTAAAATTTGTGTTTTTTTAATTTCGAGACTTAGCTCCTTTAAACCCCATTTCATTTTGTTTGTACTTTTGCTCAAACCATATGCGATGTTTGAACGTTGGCGTTCCATTTAAAAGATAAGGTCATACAGACAGATAAAGAAAATGAATTGCATTGAATTGTCACGATCATGTTAACGTGACGGAACGTTCACTATACAGCGCTCCCTGGAGGCCAGTTTTATCTGATAGATACTGGAGAGGTCGGCCATTGAATTAACAACAAATTCGCAACACTGACTTAAAATAGCTACGAGATGAACATAATTGCTATGATTGGTTTGATTGTTATTGCCTTGGTGGGCATTGGCGGCGGCGCTGCAGTGACCAACCCTATCCTCACCCCTGTCATGCCAAAAGGTTGTATGCATAACGGAAAGATGTATGAAGATGGGGAGAAGACAACCTCCAATCCTTGTTCGCCGTGTTTTTGTCATAATGGTTATATGGCCTGTTTGGCAATTGATTGCATGATGCCAAATTGTGTTGATTCTGTAAGAAAACCAGACCAGTGCTGTTCTACTTGTCCAAATGGTAAGGACGTTATACCCCATTGATTTCATTTCATTATCCTGCGTTTGCCTTATCGTGTATACTAGGCCCACTGGCATACTTAAAGTAAAAAAGGGGAAGAACAACGGTTTTTAACAATTAGCCATACGGCGTGAATTGGGTCACAGTGTACTGTTTAGTATGAGTGAATTTACGCGACTGCTTTGTGTCCTAAACATTAAAAAAACAAAACAATTTCGTGGTTATGATATCCTAATAAACAGTCCCTCTGATCCGATTTTTGGCCAAACGACATCGCCTGAATAAAATACAGCGGTAAACTTATGCCAAATCTTTATGCTTACTAGGCTATAGAGACCAGCGAGAATGTTGAACCAATTACATCACATCCGGTTGAACCTTGTTGGTCTTCCCCTTTAAAGATGCCTATTGCAGGTTTCTTTGCAGGCTTAAAAAGTTATCGTTGCTTCGATAGTAGGAACCTTTCGCATCGGTACGAAAACGAACACGAAAACGAACATATGTTCGTTTACGTTTTCGTATCCTCTAACACGCGGTTTCGCAATCCGACGTACATTGTAGTTAATAGGGACTTTTGGCATCGGTACGAAAACGAACACCAAAACTAGATGGCGTTAATTTCCACTCCATGAACTTCTCGGTAAAGGCAAAGTTTTCAATCGATTTTTCGGCAGATGTACAACAAATCAAGCAGAATATTCCTTGTAAGCACATTCTACGAACGCTACACAATCAACAATATACACAAAGGCTCGAAAAATGATGAAAAATTCAATATGAGACAAGAAACATATTCGTTTGCATACCTACGTAAATCCAGCTCCATATATAACGTTTTCGTTTTCGTATTCGTTTTCGTACCGGTGCGGAAGGTCCCTAATAAACAATTTAGGCTACATTTTGTCAAAAGTTCAAACCATCATAACTACGCACAGAACGAAGTAATTTGACTGTAATTTTCAATCTGTTCATTTTTCATTATCTAGTTTTGAACTACCGTATTATAACAGGAACGCCCAACTCTTTATTTAAATCTTTACGGTTTGTGGTTCTTGAGTTCGCCCTCAAGCCTGGATCTGCACCTGTGTAATTTTGTATTTCTGTTGTAGCCTATATTTATATTTGTTGTTTTTTAACCAGGTGCTAACTGTTATCTACCTGATGGAACTACAATACTGAAACATGGTGACTCGCAAAAAATGGCCGACGGAAGTACGTGTAAATGTGCATCAAGATTTGGATTTGGATTTGGACCCGGTAATCCCAAAGCACTTTGTAGCCAAATAGCTGATATAAAACCATAATAGTATTAATCTTAATGTTTTGGGTTTTTTGTTTTTGTTTTTGTTAGGGGAGGGTGTCTGGGCTGGTTTTTGATGGTTGGGGGGGGGCATTGAGATTAACAAGACGCCCATTTTGGTGTACTGATTTTATATCTTAAAGTTAGGCCTACTTTTGAAATTTTTAGCTTTGTAAGAAGATATTATATAGAATAAGAATTCACCATCAAATATTACAGAACAAGTACCGTCAACTGTGTATTTGGTGCCTTAAAGATACATTATGGGACAATAGATAACGAGTTGGTAAATCTCACTATAATAGTTAAAAACTACATAATGTTGAAGCAATTTGCTGAAAATTTCAGTCAAATTGATCCACTATAAACCGAGAATTACGCGATTGAAATTTCCACCTAGCCTTGATCATCATTACTAAAGTCGGTGCGATAAAAATGATAGTCTCGATTATCCATTTAATAATTAAATCGTGAAGGAAAGTTATGCAGTCAATCTGAATATAATCCACTAAAGATCGCAGGCTAGCGATGCCATCGAGAGTTGATTATGGTTTGGATAAGTTAATTAATGTTTTATTTATAATTTAGATAACATTTCAGGCTTAAAGAAAGACCTGCAAGTGATTTAGCTCTTGCATAATTTATGTTTAAGTGCCAAAAATTGATACTTGTGCAAAAAAATAATTCAATATTTCGATAGAGTGTAGAAATGTTACTACACTATATTAGAAGTTGTTACTTGAAATCAAGGAGTAGGGTCGCCTGTCCAACCTCGTGGGTTTTCTCCGGGTCCTCCGGTTTCCTCCCACTGCGAAAGACCGCTACGCGCAAGTGAATTATGGAAATAAAATTGAACCATATGTTAGTCCCGAAATGACCTAGTTGTGTCGAGTGGACGTTAAACCCCATTCCCCCCTCTCTCTCTCTCTCTCTCTCTGTTACTTGACATGGAATGACCCAGATACTGTTTCTTCCATCACTCCAATGATCTTCGGATGGAAATCACGACCAATTTGGTGACAGTACAGACCACAGGGCTACACCACGGTTTAATTAATATTTAACAAATTATTTTCTAATCAAATTTTGATCTTCCAGATAAGGAATAATGAAATGGAATTTTATCTGATAATACAAAATAAAGGACAAAATACGTCACGATCATGTTACAATAATGGCCTGGTCATCGCGTGGCGCTCCCTGGTGGTCACTCTTATCTGATATTTATATAGGAGTCAATCATTGACCCGACCACAAGTTAGTGACAGAGAGCCAATACAAGATGGGTAAAATTGCTATGATTGGTTTGATTTGTATTGGTTTGGTAGCAATTGCAACTGCCGCGCCAAAAGGTTGCTTGCACAATGGCAAGATGTATAATGAAGGAGAAAAGGTTTCGACCAACCCGTGTTCTCCATGTTTTTGTAGCACCGATGGCCTCATGTCCTGTATGGTAATAGATTGTATCACGCCTAGTTGTGTTGATTCGATCAAAAGCCCAAATCATTGCTGTTCTACTTGTCCAAATGGTAAGACTTTGAGTTATTTTGTTCAATTGGGGAGTAAATAATTGGTCTGTCATCAATGCAAGGCGTGAGTTCGATCACATAATTGTACATGAAAAGGAGTAGTGCCACCTTTACAACCTTTTTCCTGTTCTTGGATTTCCACCCACTTAAAGAGAACCTTTTCATAAATAATAATTATACCAATTAGTCCTGAAATGATCGAGTTGTGTTGACCGGAAGTTAAACCCCATTTCCGTTCTACATTGTTTTGAAATTTACGTTACATGTATTTATGTATACCTTATGCAAGGGCGTGGTGACCATTGATTTTGTAGGAGTCGAATGGTTCCGTGGGGCACGAAATCCGTTATATCGTTAGAAGGGGTAATCTTTCCCCAGAGCTGAGGAATTTTGGTCTGTGTGAAACATGTTTTGAGTCCCTTTGTAGTATATCTAAATGACGGTATATGTTTCAGAGGCAACGCAAAAGCTCACACCTATAAATGACGGAAAACGCGTCACTTTCGCTAATCTCCGACCGTATGGTCATTCCACGAACATTTTTTAATCCCTTCCGAACGACTAGACGGTGTTCCTGTGCCGTGTCCTGCAAAACATGTTGGTAATCCTCCCGATGAACTTTCTCGGCGGACACAAGGACCGAACCCCGACCCTCGTTTGCCACGTCTAGTTCGGCTTCTGAAATCCAAGTACAAACTTACGTTAAAGCCTGTATTTATATTTGTTGTTATTTTACCAGGTGCTAACTGTTATCTACCTGATGGAACTACAATACTGAAACATGGTGCCTCAAAACTAATGGCCGATGGAACTACGTGTAAATGCGCATCAATGTTTGGATTAGGATTTGCATCCGGTCTTGGCAAATCAATTTGTGCCAAACTACCTTAAATTAAACAATGAATCATAATTGTTCTTTTTTTATATTGAACAATGAGTCATGGTTGTTCTTTTGTATATTGAACAATGAGTCTTTCGTTGGGTGACCTGATAATCTGTTGCCGTTCCTTTAGAGATCTATACAGTGCTCTACTTGATAACGAAAGGTACATTTTACTTACACGTTATTTTTATAAATAAGTTGAATATGTGAAGAGTGTGTGTGTGTGCATTATGGAGAAAAGGGTATGTTCGGTCTTAAATTTAAATAAGGGGAGCTTAGGTCCAGTGGGTAAGATGCTTGTTCGCCAACTAGGTGCTCTCGGTTTGGCCGAGAAGGTTCATCTGGATTTTCCTGTCTGGTTGGTTACGGTTTGTCAGTGGTGCAGAACGGAAGGTGCGAAAAACCGAGGTCCCGACCCGACCTAAAAGAACCCCTTACAGTCGGAATTCGAAATAAGAGTAGTCCGTGGTGCTGATGTTTTGATAAAATACTCCGATGGCAATCTGTCTTAGACCAGCAGAAGCAGATAAGAAGGACGTTAAACCCCATTTAATTTCATTTCAAAATTAATGTCGTTTCATGCTTACTTTATCCATAACTGCATAACTAAATGCATCATAATAGCATATCCATGCACTTAATCCTCCCTTCAGCTACCCCCCCCCCCCAATGAGATGACTAATATATGGGGTGACTAAGTCAAAGATTAAGTACAAGTCAACGTTCCATAATATCATATTTTATCATGGTATTCTCGAAAATGATTAACTCAATGATTAGGCTAATCAAAGTTTATAAACATCTTAGTTTAAAATTTAGCCAGCTTTCCAGAATAAGACCGGTCAGAAAATTGGAGATTAAATCTATGATTAGCACTAATCTACTTTGGAAAATATGGGCCTAAGTGCCAATAGTTAACAGATTAATATGGTTGTTTTATGTCTCATTAGCAACTTTAGAAAAATAGTTTGTGGAACTTTAACATATATTATGCAAGAGCTAAATATGTCTATTGCAGGTCTTTTTTGGGCCTGAAATGTTATCTAAATTATTAAATAGACATTAATTAACCTATCCAGACCATAATCAACTCTAGATGGCATCGCTAGCCTGCGATCTTCAGTGGATTATGGGCCGATTTACTGCATAACTTTCCTTCACGATTTAACGATTAAATGGATAATCGAGACTATGCTATTTATCGTACTGACTTTAGGAATGATTATCGAGGCTAGGCGGGAATTTCAATCGCTTAGTTCTCGGTTTATAGTGGATCAATTTAAATGAAATTTTCAGCAAATTGCCTTTACATTATCTAGTTTTTAACTATTATAGTGAGAACTGCCAACTCGTTATCGAATCTCACATAATGTATCTTTAATCTTAAATTGGATGACCTTTAATGAAATTGGGAAATCATATCTCTATCTATTTGTTCACCTGTATGTGACAACCCAAGATGTTCAAAGTGAATATCTTCTTGTAATACGCCCGTTTGTTTTTTTAGATCAACCTATAATTATTTAAATATTAATAAGAAAGGGGAGAGAACCATTTTGAACATTCGGCTTTCACAATACTGTAGTTTGCAGGAAGGGGGGGGGGGGATGAAATGGAGTTTAACGTCCTACTGTTCTGCTCCAAACTGGGTTAATGAAGACGGACATACGCCATACGGTGTGCTATGAAGGAAATTTTGCCAGGGCAGCGCCACTATGGCCTACCCTTATATCGAATTCCAACTGCCAAGGGATCTTTTACGTACACGCCAATGTATACACGGGACCTCGGTTTTTTACATCTCATCCGAACGACCAAACAGCTGTCCTTGTTAGGCCCTCCGTCCAAACAGCTGTCCTTGTTAGGCCCTCCGTCCTGCACCACTGACAAGGGAAACCACGTCGGAAAATCCCGATGAACTTTTTCGGCCAATGCAGGGATCGAACACGCGACCTCCAGGCTAGCGAGCCAGCGTTTTACCCACTTAGCCACCGGGACTCCCAGTAAGGGGGGGGGGGTCGTTTACACATTGGCGTGCACGTAAAAGAACCCTTGACAGAGTTCGAAATAAAAGTAGGCCGCCGTGCCGCTATCCAGGCAAAATTCTCTCATAGCTCACTGTATTTTGTGTGCCAGTATTAGCCGCGTCGGTGCAGAACAGTAGAATGTTAAACCACATTTCATTTCATTTTTTTCAGGAGATTCCCCAATCCGTCAGATTTTAATAAGTAGATGTATTAAAATACAAATAAAGCATGTATTATGGATTTATCGCCACAGGTCACAAACTGCTAAACCTTGTGTATTTCAAAATCACTAGTAGTATTACTTCAACTAATTCATAGAAATATACCCAACAGATCGGCAGCAAATATTCGCTTGGCCGCTACTATCACTGGTATAAAATATACATACCGTTACTAAGAACGTCGTGCTATTAAGACTAGCCGCCTGGAACCTTTCATTCTCCAATTTTCGCTATCCAGCACTCATTATTTTATCACCAATATTTCCCCATTTTTTATTTTATTTGAATAGTAACAGAAATAAATATATAAACTTTTATTTGGTTTATCACTGTCTATCAAAACCAAGAATCTTGGTGCTAAGTCAAATGAACCGTTAGCAAAGTTTGTGTGAACTGCAAGGGATGCAACTGCATGACACCATGGCTGCTTCGCTTCTTGTCTGATCTTTCTTGTGCCTTCTTTCATATCATTTTAATTAATTTGATAAAATATAATGCCTTCATATTAAAATATTTTAATAAATGTAAGATAATTGATACACCTCGTATAAAATCTAGATGTTTGAAGGCTCTTAAAATAAATCTACACCAATGCCGATAATCTAATAGAGTAACTAATAAAGCAAGCGGTGTCTTCCGTAGAACTACAACTAGCACGGGCGTGGCTCCAGATAACGTCGGACAAATAAAATGCGAAGTATTTCAGACGTTTTGGTCCCACTCCACCTTAATAAGCAGAAATATTGTCTCAGAGATTCTGATTTTATAAAATTCTCGGGTAATCCTAATCGGTTATAACAGTTGTTGTTTTCATGTCATGTGCTGTTGTTTTCATGTCGTGTGAAATAACTATTGTTGTTTTCATTTCGTTTCAAAACTGTTGTTGTTTTCATGTCATGTGCTGTGATATGGCTATTGTTGTTTTCATGCCATGTGAAATAAACTATTGTTGTTTTCATGTCGTTTCAAAACTATTGTTGTTTTCATGTCATGCGATATAACTATTATTGTTTTCATGTCATGTGATATAATTTCCATGCCATATGATATAACTAATGGTGTTTTCATGTTATGTGATAAACTAATATTGTTCTTTTCTTGTTAAGCGATATAACTACTTTCGTATCATGTGATATGACCTTACGAGTAATACTATCATGTCATTTTGGGGGGGGGGCTGAATGGTTAGCGAGTGCGCGCTGCATCATAAGGTCTGTCATTGAGTCAACGAGCGTGGTTTGGATTCACCGGTTGTACGTGACAAAGAATAGGGTCACCTGTCTAACCTTTAACCTTGTGGGTTTTCTCTGGGTCCTGCGGTTTCCTCCCACTGCTAAAGACCCCTAGGCGCAAGCGAATTATTGAAATAAAATTGAACCATATGTTAGTCCCGAAATGACCTAGTTTGTGTCGAGTGGACGTTAAACCCCATTTCTCTCTCTCTCTCTCTCTATCATGTTATTTGATGTAACTAGTATTGATATAGTGTCATGTGGTCGTGTACATGTAGTAATGTCATCATGTTAAGCGACGTCATCGTGTCGTGTGGTGCTTATCTTGCCATGTTTCTTGTCATGTGATGTTAGTCATGTTATGTGTAGGCTGGTTGGTGGAGCTGACACTAAGCTGCTGTAAAACTGGCACGTAATTCATATTATTTATGGGATCCCACGATAAGTGTCCCGTTTGCCCGGATGACGTTAAGGGCATAGCATTATTCAGGGCAGACCCACTGGCAAAACTTTGTAAATAGCTAGCAGTCTCGTATTCCCGTTTTTTCATTTCTTCTGAGTTCCAGACCAACTCGGGGGTCTTTATCGATGGGACCACATTGGAAACAGTCTGTCCCATAAATGAACGACCGGAGTTCAACATATAAGAATGGTCAGTATCAAAATTTCTACCATCAGGAATGGAAAACTGTGAATTGTTGTAAGCCTGGTTGTTCGAGCTTAATATAGCAGGAGATGGCTGTGTATAGAGTCTTCCAGTCAACAAACCAGCCACGCCCTGTGATGAGTAGTCTGCGATATTAGCTAAAGAATTTGACAAGCTATCTGTTTGCTGAAGAATCTGAGCTCTTGTGGGAGGGTTCTGGGGTCGACTCGTCACATCCTCATAACTCGGAGGGATGAAACGACCGTGGTGTGTTTCTTGGTGCGGTATCTGCAAGATAGAGTTGTCCGATTGATCCGGTCCATCTCTCGCGGATATGTTAAATACAAAATCATGATCCACCTTGTCGTCTGCCTTTTCCGAGTTGGTTTGTCTATTTTTTAAAGCTGATTTCACCGAGTTCTTCACTTGTTTAGGTGTTTTGACTTTTGACGCAGCTCCGTTTGGATGGGCACATTTGTAATGTCGGGAAAGGTGATCCTTTCGGCCGAAAACCTGAGAACAAAATTCGCACAAATAGTCTTTACGTTTCGTATGGACAACCATGTGTCTCTTTACATCTTTATTGCACAAAAACATTTTATCGCATTCCGGGCATTTTAATGTTCGAGCCTTTCCGGTTATCGACTGATACCTGTTATGCACATCTTTTAAATGCGAGATGAGGTCCGTCTTAGTTTTGAAACACTCATCACAAATAAAACAATTCAGACTATCTGTGTCCGTAGCCTGGTGCATTGCTTGGTGGAATTTGAAACTTTCCTCGCGAATATACGATTTATCACAAATTTCGCAATCCCACGTGGTTCGGTTCAGATCGTGGATCAACAAATGATTCTTTAAATGGTCTTTGCGACGGAACGTTTTATCGCAGTAAGGACATCGAACTTTTAATATATCTTGATGGACGACCTGATGTCGGATGTAAAGAAACTTGTTTTTAAAACCTTTGTTGCAACCTTCAAAATCACAGAGAAAAGGCATAGTTCCGCTATGAGACGCCACATGTACACGGAAGGCATCCTCACGCCGAAAACCTTGTTCACAAATTTGACAAACATACCGAACCTTCCTTGGTGATTTTATTTTGGGTTTAGAAATTTTTGTCTTAATTTTAGTGTCTTCTTCCTCTTCCATAGACGCGACGATTTTCGGCCGTATTCGTCGCTTACTTTTGCGTTTACCGAATTCACGTGTTTTTTCGCCAGGGTCTTCAAATAAAACTTCCTTTCTGTGTCTAGTTTCACGGCTACGCGATTTCGGAACATCTTCAACTGAATAATCTTCGTCGTTACCATCATCACCGTCGTTATTAACTTCAACTGCGATGTCACCCAAATGATCGGCGTCATTCCCCTGGTCATCCAGTAACATCTTTTTGTCGATCTCTGTGAAGAATATAGGCAAATTATCGCAGACAGATCCTGCAATAAATACATCTTTAAAAAATAAAATATTCTATGATTTCTATGGTTTTAAAATGAAATGAAATAGGATTTAACGTCCTAGTTTTTTTGCCTCATCTGGCCTAATGAAGACGGGTATATGAAGGACGTTTTGTCTGGACAGTGGCCAGTTATTTCGAATTTCAGCTGTCATGGTTTTTCTTTCTCGGTCCTTTAAATTTTTCGTTCCATCTGGACGACTAGACACTGTTCCTTACCAGGCACTCGGGTTGCTGGTTAGCGCGTGCGAGTTGTATCATAAGGTCTGTCATTGAGTCAACTGGCGTAGTTTCGATTCCCCGGAGTAGGGTCGCCTGTCCAAGCTCGTGGGGTTTTTCCGGGTTCCCGGATTTCCTAACACTGCTAAAGACCCCTACGAGGGAGCGAATTATTGACAAGAGGAAACAACGCCGGATTATCCAGGGGAACTTTTTCAGCTTTCACCGGAATCGAATTAGGAACATCCAGGTTAGCGAGCCAGCGTCTTACTCACTTGCAGGCAGGCTGATACCAATATCCTTTCCCCTTTCTTCTAGACATTAATGGGCTAATCCCGATATTTATTGGAGAATAAAACTGCTTAATTTTAAATTTTAAAAATCCCTTTAAATTCTCTAGCTAAGGGCCGAGAAACTAACCCAATATTTGGGATAAGTTTTCAAACAACTTAAACCCGCCAGTCTTCATATGGAAATGGTGACCGGTGTCCCAAGCTGTATTATGCGGTGTCTGGATAAAACCAGACTATTATTTTATAAAAAATAATGTGAAGGTGAAATTTACCTTTCGTTATCAAGTAGAGCACATGGGTCATTCACTATATAGACCTCTCAAGGAACGGGAATTGATTATCAGGTCACCCAACGAAAAAACTGCCCCGAAATCTTAAAAGGGTTACGTGTCCGGATAAGCAGTTTTGGCGTTCACGTCCAAACGGCACAATATTTTAAGCTGGCATTTTGAGAGAAGGTAAATACACCATTCCTCTATATTTTGGCGCTTAAATTTCATACGTACTCCGACTTTTATTTTTGAGACTCTCTTGAAATCGGGATAGTCCCTTTAAACTTTACATTTGAAAAGCCGAGGCATTACAAAGATAACAGATCTTTGTCTAGACTCCACCTGACTGAGAGATGAAAATATATAATTTATAGGAAATATGATTATGTACCTGTTGAGCTGTTGGCTTCTACTAATAGATTTTTACTAATCTTTTCACTATAACTTCTCGAATACCAAACTCTTAGTTCACTATTACTTGTGATAGGCTGTAAATATTAATATTGAATGACATTTAGAAGTAAAGATATAACATTTATAATAACACAATTTAAGGGAGAGAGAGGGGGGGGGAGAGAGAGAGAGAGAGAGAGAGAGAGAGAGAGAGAGAGAGAGAGAGAGAGACACTAGGTCATTTCGAGACTGACATATGGTTCAATTTTTATTTCAATAATTCGCTTGTGCGTGGGGGGGGGGGGGGCGGAGGACACGGAGAAAACTGGACAGGCGACCCTACTCCTTGTCACGTACAAAAAATGAATCGAAATGTCGCCACTTGACTCAATGTCAGATCTTATGATCTTATGATCGAACGGATGCCGGACAACGTCGTAGCTGCAGCCCAGGGTCCTTTGTGGATAAAACATTCCTAGATTCAAAACACTTTTCAGAACTTTTCTTTCTTGGGGCTTCACAGTGCCTGTAGCTCAGGAGCCCACAAAATCTTAATGCGGTTCTGAAGTGACGGACAGTAGTGGCCACCGTCAACCGTTGGGGTCGAAGATCCGGTCGGCTAAAAGGTAAAAACTTACCTTTATCGTGATATAGTAAATGTTATTATTGTGTAGTATGGCAACCATATTCTGCTGTTCGAGACTACAAGCCGGTCGTATAAACATCATCCAGTTACACACTCGTTCATCCTTTAAACGTAAGTTGAAGACCTTGTTCTTGTCCACCACCTATAAATAGAACAGAGAGACGGAGTAATGTGATTTAACGTCCACTGAACGCAAACTAAGTCATTACGAGGCGAACTTGCGCTTAGGGGTCTTTAGCAATGAGGGGAATCCGGGGGGGGGGGGGGCTGGAGAAAATCCAGGGGGTTGGACAGGCGACCCTACAGGCTTGGGATTGAAACCACGCTAGATCACTCAATGACAAACCTTATGGTCTAAAGCGCATGTGGAATTTACGGTATAAGGGCAGCTCGAGTCGGACAGTGTCATAAGCCTTGCAATACCACTTCCCGTTTCATGAGCGTGTCTAGAAAAATGATCGGGACCGGTGTGTGTGGGGGGGGGGGGCCTGTTCCGGCGTGACTCACCGCTGAGCCCTGCGAGAGGTATGGGGGGGGTCTCCCCCTAGAAAATTTTGAAAATTTAAAGTAGATTTCCTTGCATCTGAGCCAATTTTGAAGGAAATTTAAATCTTTTAAATGTATAGGCGTTCACCTAGGTTCTCTCATGCATAGACTCCCCCTGGACACGCGCCTGCGTTTCGGAGTTATATTAGTTCCGGTTTCAAGAAACACCTACCAGGAAATGTCGATGACTCTACTCGTGCAACTCTTGAGTAAATATCTATAAGTGTAAAATAGTTGGCCTACCTTTAGTTGAAATTTATCAGCCTTGTCTTTACGTTTAGATTCAGGATATCGAGGAGCCTCTACAGGTCCGAACTGAGTCCTGGGTTTTATCGCCATCTTACTGAAAACACCGTTGATACATTTACCTGAATAAATAAATAAATTTAAACAGCCCCGCTGATCATCATTTGGGGGGGGGGGGGGTTAATACAAAGGAAGGGTTTTAACATCCTACTTTTATGCACCAACCGGACTAATGAAATGAAATGGGGTTTAACGTCCTACTGTTCTGCTCCGAACTGGGCTAATGAAGACGGGACCGGACTAATGAAGACAGGCATACAGTGTACTATTTGGGAACTGAATTCCAAATGTCAAGGGTTCTTTTACGTGCACGCCATCACGTACACAAGACCCAGACTTTTTGTAACATCCGAACGACTAGACACTGTTACTTACCAAGCCCTTCTCCCTGCATCACTGACAACGGGAAAGCACGCGGAAAAATCACGAGGAACTCCGGATCCAAAATGTAAAGAAATGTCCCATCTATCTGCCCAGTGTTCAATAGTTGTTATGCTATGGGGGTGTGTATTAGGCTTCGAGATATTTCTGTTCCTATATCGCGCTTGATAGGGGTAGTGCCTGTGGGTCTGACCCGATAAGTGTGCCTAATAAACCGATAGCACGAAAAAAACATCTTTGTGCGTATGGTTGTCTAGAATTAAACGTTTACTCACCTATACTGGTCTTATCGGCAGGTTTTATTGTAAGTTCGTCAGGGAGCGTGTAATAAGCTTTATTTGGTGGTTTGTTGTCCCTTATAACATTGAATACACCATGTGCTGGGCAGTGGTCTGGAAAACCCGACTCGCATTCACTACACCCTATATAACATAAACATAGAATTATACAAACAGAACACGCTAGCTATTATATATGCAAACATAATACATCAGCATACAAACAGAACACGTCTTTGTACAAACAGAACACGCCATTATACAAACATAACACATCACCATACAAAACGAAACACGTCTTTGTACAAACAGAACACATCATCATACAAACAGAACACATCTTTGTACAAACAGAGAACGCGCCATTATACAAACATAACACATCACCATACAAACAGAAAACATCATACAAACGGGACACGCCATAATATATATAAACGTAAGACATCGCCATACGAACAGAACACGTCTTTGTACAAATATAATCTTACAAACAGGACACTCCATTATACAAACAGAACATGTCATTGTACAAAAAGAACACAGCACATGTCATCATACAAACAGAACATATTGTTAAAGCCCCACGCCTTCACACCATCTTTATAAGTCAATCACAAATAAAGCTAATAATAATTCTGCTATCATCTTCGTCCATGCCTACTTATTCCCAGGGAAGTGGTTTTGTTTACTAGAGTGTACATGTATTTAATTATATTATAAAAACACTTTTTGCAGTAAACATGGTACTAAAACGTAGTCAAAATGATCTGAGATGTTCTCAATAGTCTGTCAAACTAATATAATTTTATGTGTATTTGGTTGGTCTCTGCGCTGTCTATAGTATACATGATATATAGAGAATCTCCTACGATTCTTTGATATCAAAAAAATATCAACACAAGGCGACTGTTTTTACTTTATCGACGAGTGTTTATATCTTTTGATATCAAAAAAGAAGAGTAGGAGATTTTATGTATCACCCAATCCTTTCTTACATGCACAAATAAATAAATATAATTATTTGCTATAGATTTCACTTTTACTGAACCCGATTACATTATGGCGTAGTGACAGCAATTCAACCATTGCAAAGTCCTTTATATTGACCCAGTGTTTCCATTAAGTTCAATTAAATAAAAATAGTTCATTTTTAATAAAACAAAAAAGAAGTTAATTTAATAAAAAATGAGAGATAGGGAGAGAGAGAGAGAGGGAGGAGGGGAATGATACAACGCGTACGCGCTAACCATTCGGACATCTAATATCCCACATACTCCCAATTAAATAAAAATAGTTCATTTTTAATAAAAAAAAAAGAAGTTACTTTTAATAAAAAATGAGAGAGAGAGAGAGGGGGGGAATGATACAACGCGCACGCGCTAACCATTCGGACACCTAATCTCCCACATACTATAGAAAACAGCTATCATACGAAACTTAGGTTGTCTGTTTGATAATTAGCCCCGCTATAGTTGACCGAGATTTAAAACCTACATGGACAATTTTAGGAATACTTCGGGAATATTGAGAAGTATTTATTCCGCTTCATTGAAAATGTTCATTTAATATTTGTGTGTATGAAAGATGTAAATCGGATTAGAACCGCATAAAAAACTGATGCACTAATTTTTCAATATGGCGGCCATTCAGGGCAAAGATCTATTCTCAAAGAATATAGTTATCTGTGTGTATGAACGCTAATATTTGGGCGACGTACCACAAGTATTCTCTCAACATTGATAACAGAGAGAGACAGAAATGAGGCTTAACGTCCACACGACACAAACTAGGTCATTTCGGGACTAACATATGGTTCAATTTTATTTCAATAATTCGCTTGTGCGTAGTGGTCTTTAGCAGTCGGAGGACCCGGAGAAAACCAACTCCTTGTCAACTACAAGCGGGAAATCAAAACCACGCCACTTGACTCTATGACAGACCTGATGATATCACGCGCACGCGTTAAACCACATAGACACCCCACCCCTCAACATTGACAACGTCGCCTAACTATATTATATTATTGTAACTGTTTTCCATAATGTAATACTTTATGTTTTACTTTAATACATGGTGTACTTACAGTTTTCTAATTTATTATCACTGTTGTTGGTTAATTCTGTCATCTTCGTTGAGCAAACATCTAGTTTTCCTCCACTTCTGAAATATTATAAAATACCATTTCAAATATAAACCAATAATTTACTAAGATGGTATTATGGGTAGTGAGTACTCTCTTGGTTATATTTGTACGTCCCCGGGCAGTTGATATTCGAAAACGCCCATGTCAGGACAAAATTTCCCTCATAGTACACATCTTCGATAGAAAGCTTGATCACCTTTAACTCCGTAGTCCGTACATCTTATCAAGGTGTTGTAAAACTCACAGTCGTTGCTTCAGTAATATGTATAGCACACTGAATGGCGTATATCCATCTTCATTGGCCCAGTCGGTGTTGAACAGTAAGACGTTAAACCCCATTTTATTTCAGAAATAGTTTAGCATTTAGCCTATATTATAAGATAAAATAAAAAAAATACTAAGCTTACCCAGGCAGGCACGTCAACGAAGATAAAAAGGCATTTACTATTTTGATTGTAATAAATATAAGAATACAATGTCAAACTGCACCTGTCGCTAAATTTATTCACGCGGGACTAATAAATTGGTATTCAATAATTTGAATGAATAAGCCTGTATAAAAGTACTTTATCTATTTGCACGTGTTGACATTGTGGTGGGGTTGGATTACCCCCGGAATGGGATTACGTCTTTGGTGAAAATGTGGCAATGCGTTATTAAAACTGATTTATTTGAAATAAAATTTGGTTTAACATCCTACTTTTCTGCTCCGACTGGGATAATGAAGACGAGCGTAAGCTATGTAGTGTGCTATGGGAGAAATTTGCCCGAACAGCATTAAGTTAAGTTAGTTTGCACGCGATTGCTATATCAATAGCGCTGAAATCACGTCCAGAGTCTGTAATTTGCTTGATATTACTGTTTTGTATGAACGGACAAATTGCTGAATCAGGGGCTTACTTTCATGATAAATACATTCTTATCCGAACTCAGCGATTATCGTCCAACATTTCTACACTCTTTCACTCGAGGGGTAATGTTGTCCCTCCACACGGCCTACCAACAAAACAAACAAAAAACTGAAAAGGTATAAATAGGTCTATAGGAAACCTGTACGTGATGCATATTTCAACAGTACTTTTTTAGTTTCTCTTCCGGATCCATTCTCTCGATTTGATACGTTCTTTTGTTTATTGCTTGCAATGTTAAGTGTCCGCAGGTTTGTCTTGCATGCTGTGCAATTCTTCTGCACTTATACTAATTAAGCCGTCAAGAATCTGGCCCGAATCAGTCAAGAATCTGGTCCGAATCAGTCAAGAATCTTGTCAGAATAATTCAATAAGCCAGGTCCCAATCAGCCATGGTCCGAATCAGCCGCACACCGATGACGGTTACAAACTAGCCTATGTACGTTTACCCATAATGTTTATACTAATACATTAAGGGCAGGATGTCGAAAAGGCTATTATAGTCTAATCTTCAACCCTTCTCAAATAAAGTCATTACGGGCCTACTGAATAAATTGAATAGAACTGAATTCAATTGATAATAGCCAACATTTATGATACAAACAAGTGTCATTTTTAGTATCGGTAGTAGCCCCATAAAGAAAGTGACAAAATCACAGCAGTCCAAAATAATGTTACAAACTCCAGAAATCAACTAAACTGAAATTAACAATCATCACAAAATATCATGCCTGTAATTAAAAATACAGAAAATATCCCAAACGAACTTGCCAGAAACATAGACATATTTACAGTTCCAGAAACTTTTAGGATGTTATACCGTTGGCTACTGTAATTAGGCCTAGGTAATTGGAAACACATTAAATTTTCAATTGAAGTAAGCAATTAAATTTTATTAATAGTATAATAAACAATATTCACAGATTTAGTCATTAGCCACCAAGTGACTGGCACTGAGACGCTAATATAAGTAATAAAATCTTATTTATAGTTTAGACTGTTCAAATGATATTCGTTGAAATTGAAAGTGAATATGACAGTTTAAAAAAACAATAGTAGGCCTATTGTAGGGGCCTCCCTAATCTGCATGACGAATGACAAGCGAATGGCGAATGATTGTCGAGAGTCGAGGCCCGTTGATTCTTGCCCTCGGCTGATTAACCGAGCTCACGCCATGGTCTTAATTTACCGTTACTCCAGATCAAAGAACACGCCGCCTGCAATCCAAAATGAAGTGGGGCCCATTGTGGGTAAATTGCACTGAGGTACACAGAAATTCGTTAGAACATTGCGCAAACTATTGAAATAGAAACAAAATATAGATACTAGATATATTCTTTGATAAATTAGCAATAATTCGTGGTATATTAAGCATTAAATCAGTTCAAAATTAGAATGAAAAGAAAATATTAATAATATTACTACCCAACCAGACGCCATTGACGAAGAGGATCACGGGAGGGAATTCCCACTGACGTCAGATGCGGGGATTTCGCTGACAAAGGTTAAAAATAAGAGATTTAGGGCAGAATTTGGTGGTCTCTCCGACAAATTAATCATGTCCGAGCTACATGAGAGGGTGCTGTCACCTAAAGAGATACGGGAGAAAAAAATATTAGCATCCAGACAAAATTCTCACGAGAAGAATACATGTTTAAGGGTAAGAAGTCAAATATGTGGCAATGATCTCTGTCCGAGGCTAGATGTCATGATCAAAATGTGTTGTTTACATTTTTACACTGAGCGATTTCAGATCTACATGTATCAACCCAATTTTGCAAACTTTTCAACCCTTGTATTTACATTGCATTTAATAAAAATATTGTTATTGATAATAGTAACTTAACACGCGCCATATCCAATCCAGAGGGGGGGGGGGGGGCGAGGAGTAAAGGAAACTCGATCTCTTACATTCATCAAAATAAGGTCAAACAGGCAAAGCATTGTCCTGTTTTTGCTTCACCCCACTCTAATCCTATAAACATCTGAATGAGCAGAAATCTAATAGGCCTACTTGTCACAGAGCTTCTGATTTTATAAAATTCCCTGGTAATCCCCCAGACCTCATAACAAACTTGACCTTGTCTTCATCGGACTTCCAGCTGCTCAAATTCCTGAACATACCCCTGCAATTTGGTTGAATACAGCAGATATTATATGCCACTGTTTTTATCTCCAGTCAAGGTTTATAAAGTTAACAGATTTGTTAATTGACTATCGCGTATAATTTCAGGAACAAGAGGCATCGTTAAAATGTATGCATGACTCTGGTTATGACCGAGATGCATGTAGCAAATATTTCCAGAATTATATAAACTGTCGAGACTTTTGGGTAAGATCTCTTTCTTATATATACTCATCAAAAAAAGTAGGGGGTATTCAGAAACAATACAAAACTGCGGAAATGCACTGTTGTTTTTATTAGAGGTAACCAGTGTATGTTAATAACAGGCCAATTGCCTACACATGAACATAAACAGTTCATATGGGCGGCTTATCTGACAGCCCCATTTCACGCACAAAGAGATACTCTGTCAAAAGTGAAAATGGACGTTTTTGATTTTTGTCTTAATAATGAGTAATTGCTCCACCAATCCTCAGACATTCAGCAATTCGTCATAGCATGCTCCTAATCAACCGTCAAATCACAATTTGGGCCAATCTGACCAACTCCTCTTGCAGTAACACACTAAAGCAAAGATACGCTAAACAGTAAATCTTATGCAAGAACCGATAGGAAAGCAAACATGGATAGGATAAACCAGCAAGTGGCAGTTTTCATCAACCCTTCTTTGAAGTGTCAAATTTGACAATGAACCCCTCCCACGTGTATGGCGCTATTGCGTGTTGCATGTGCAGCTCAGTGATTCTGTTCAAGTGTTGGGGCGATAAGTTCTTCATCTGTGAACATACTCTCAAAGCATGTCAAGTGCCCATGACTATTTATCATATCACAACCTGCATAGGTATTTGCATTTCAATGTCCCCTACTTTTTTTTAAGAGTATGTATGTACAGTTTTGCCAGTGATTTTTCCATTTTTTTTGGGGGGGGGGGGTAAATATTTATACATACATAATGTTATGTGATAATTATTTTTAATTGATTTATATTAATTTATTATTGAGATTATTTATATTTACTTTGTTTCGTGTAATCACCCTATGTTTAGTGCAATATAGTCCCAACTGGAGCTGATATTCAATCAATCCATCTGGCAATTGAAATGCCCAACCCTAAAAAATTTTAAGGGATGAATCCCAGTAACGTCTTGGGTGAAAGAAACCAGGGGCTTAAACGATGACAAAAAAGTTGACATATGATTATCTGGCAAATGCGAAAATCAGAACTGACTAGTTCAACGTCTTACTATTTCTGGACCAACTGGACTAATGAAGAGCATCATACGCAATGCAGTGTGTTATAAGAAATAATTTTGCCCAGACAGCAATGCTACAGTCTACTTTTATTTCAAATGCCAACTGTCCAAGGAAAATTATACCCACTCCATATAACCATATTAATGAAATTTAATAGATGTTAGTCTCAAAATGACCAATGTATTGTGTCGCGACAATACTTTAAAACACCTGTCCACTCCATTCAAAAGGACACAAATGTGACACTTGCTGCTGTTTCTCAGCGAAAATGAAGCTTTCATAGAATATTTCAAGCCTCACCATTCATAATTCACCTGCAAAGCAAAACACACTGATAATCACAAGACTGGTCTAATAACTAGATTATATGATCTGTCTTTGAGTCCATTGACGTTGTTTCCATTCACATCTTGGACATGACAAAGAGTAGCTCGTGGGTTTATGCTGGGCCCTCTGCTGTCTTCCCACTGCTAAAGATCCCTACGCACAAGAAAATAATTGAAAAAAAAATGTACCATAAGTTAATCCTGAAATAACCTAGATGTGTCGAGTGGACGTTAAACCCCATTTCTTTTACTTCCTCTCTGTGCGTATAGGTTGATTCTGATCACACATAATGTATTCTTTAAGATTTATTTATTTTTCTTGTAGGGTCATGTGATCAAGGACCGAAGACGTAATGGAATTACACCATATGTACCGCCTGTCAGCGAACGTCCTGCTTTACGAAAACAATACAAAGATTTTATGCCATGGTTACCAGATTAATCAGTGAGAATAAAGAGATAATAAATTTGTTGAGTGCTTCATATTGACAGACGTTTATAGTTGATACTGACGACATTAATATACTGGGTACATAAACTTAAAATAGCAATGATACTAAATGAACATAAACTTGCAATCACAGATTAAAACACAGATCCTATTTTGTTTCGTTTTTTTATAGTTCAAAATTTCGTTTTACTTGTCTTTACTACACTAGGATCTGGAAGAGTTGTTATATTACCGGCATTCTGGTTGAAGTGAGGGATTAGCAAGTGAAACTGTCTGTTCTTGGCGTGCGATGCA